GTCTTTTAAAGCGATATTGAGAAATAATCTGAGGTTTGAAGTAAAAAAGTATTACCGTTTTTGAATAGCCGTGAATTCATGTAGAGAAGACCTTTCTATATGAAAGAGTATTCATTAGAAAGCTTTAACGGAGTACTTTTAGTTTTCTATAACAACAACGTTCGAGTTTATTATAAAAATAACGAGATATTTTTAAAAAAAAACTTCATATGACACGAACTTCGAATTTATTTTCACATATAGAAAAGGGAATAATAATAATAATAACGAATTTCTTTGGCTGGAACCATGCTGTGGCGAGGTTTGACGTAATCACTTTGTATTTATGAAATGCATAATAATGAAATTCAACCAGGTGTGTGATTATTTTGTAAGTAACGAGCGATTGAATTTACCAGTTAAAAAATTTCACGTGACTAAATTAACCGGAACATAAGCTACAAGTTGATATAAATTTTTTTGCGTAATTGAGATATTCGGGGTGTCCAAAACTTTTGCCAAGGTACTGTATAAAATTTTTTGGACCTGTTGGATAATTTTTTCGTTTACCCAATGATATATCCAACTGCGATATTTGATCCTCCTCCTTTACTCTTAACTTGAAGATTTAATGAATCAGATTTTTCTTTATTATCAAGAAGTTTATCAAACGCGTTTTTTGTATGTTCCAATACCATCCATCATCAGTATCATTTAAACTAGGCGGTGTAAGCTTTTCTATATCAATATAATCATCATCTTCAGACTTTACATGTTTATTGAAGCTCTCTCAGTTGACATGGTATTCTATAAGCTTTGCAAGTGATTACTTCGTTTCTTTATAACCTCATTACAACAAAGTGGAGAAAATTCCATTTATGCATGTTTGATAATCCGGATACAAATATAATAGTAAAGAAAGAAATTCTAATGGAACTTTGCAAGAAATCATGGAGATACATGGATCTATATAGGAATGGAATTATTGGAAAATTGGCAGAGTATGCTGTCAAAAAATATAGATCCAAAGTATACTTGTCGTCGGAATTTCCAAACAGAAATAATACGGTTACGGCATGTGCCGTATTATTTGCCATAAATAACATAAACTGTAAAACCGTAAAACCGTGAAAACCGCAAATACCGTAATAGTAAATACCAGAAAATAAAAGACATGTGTAATAGTAATGGCATCATGTCTATATATTAATATGCAGCATGGTTTATTTATTATTTATCATTATTTTTACAACAATCAAAAATTCAAATTTCTCCCAAAAAAATTACTCTAGCAATTCTTCAGAAAAAATTGCATCAAAATTAACATTATGAGATGAATTTATCTTCTGTATTTTATTAGAACTTGAAAATTGTTCTATCAGTATTTGCATGTATTCAAGTTTCACATTAGTTGGCACTGCAGAACAATGTAAAGCTAGATGCCCTTTCAAAAGTTCAGGTTTCCCTCTAGACCAAGCTTCTGCGCAATAATGACATTTGGCGGAGAAGTGACCATCTCCTATTGTTTCTTTAAAAAAATGCTCCCAAACAATTGATTCTTTACAACCTCTTTTTGACCATTGCTTTGATGATTACTTGACATGCCCGACCTGACAGAACTCATAGAACTCATTTTTTCCTTTTAAT